AACCCAAGAAAACTAGCTTTCCAGACTTCTTGTATAATCCTGCAGAAAAGAGAATATATTTAAAAAAGACTACATTGTGACATAATAAGCACATTTTCCAAACCATCTCTGGAACATCCACATTCCTGGGCAGTTTCAAAAACCACAGATGATAATATTCAGAACAGTCATAAAAAGTATACCATAGATACTTGTGTATAAGTTGATCTCATGTTTAAGTCGAGGGCATGTTTTGGGGCCAAAATTATGTATTTTGATGACTTGTGGATAAATAGAGTGTAAAATTTAGGGAATTAACAAAGGATGTAAATGATGAAGCAAAGGAAAACAATGCCAAAGAATGTACAAAACTCTGGCAGCCATAACTGTTTGTGTTCACCCTAAAGTCTGGATGAATGAGAGAATTACTGTAAATGATGGCATTGTGATGTGTGGGGGAAGCAACCAGGTGTAGGCGAGGCTAAGAAAACACACACATGCTGAAAAGGATGCAAAGGCAAGAGTAAAGGTATGGTATTCTTTCTTATAAAAAAAGGAACCATCCCCTTCTCAGAGTAGAGTGGTGAAAGGCAAGTTTCCTCCATCTGGGGAGAACCTAAAACAAACATGGACCCCCCTCTACTGTCTCAGAGCTCCTTTGAGAGGAAATGTCAATGGGCTGCTGCCATCAACATTTTCCCACTCAGGCATTCAAAAAGCCCAGAAACAAAGCCACAACAATGGGGCCTCTTTTAGGTTCTCCCTGGACAATCTAAGCGCTTGCCTTTCACCATTCTCAGAGAAAGGGCTGGTTCCTTTTTTGATAAGAGTTAAAGTACAGTACTTACACTGACCTGTGGATAAGTTGACCCAGGTTTCTGGGGTCAAATTTTCAACTAAAACTTTTAGACTTATACATGAGTATATACTGTTTATGGCAGAGCTCAGTTTTCTAACTGATACATTGCTGAAAATAGAACACACTACTTTCTCTTATAGGCACCTAGATTAGCACTCTTCTTGTTTATTTTTATATTGGTTTGCTTCTTGCTCCTGCACATTCATTTGTATACTGTTAAGCCGCTTAGAATAATAAGCTATGGTGTCCACCTAATGCAGCACTTGTACAATCACATATACATTCAGAAATCACATTCTCAATTCCTGGCCTCTCTGTCTAGAGCAAAGAATACCTCCAGTCTGAAACTCTGGAGAGCCATTGCCTGAAACTCTGGAGAGCCATTGCCAATCTATGCAGGTTAAGCCATATGGACAAACAGTGCAGTCTTGTATGTGGCATTTTATTTTATTTTGTCCCTAAAGAGATCAAGTCAGAGATTTTTGAGATATTACTGCCAAGTATAAGAAATTCAACTAAAAGAAATCAAGGTCTCTAGGAGATCAATTCAGATTGATTTTTTAAAAAGATGAAACTATGTTACATTGTGCTTTAACAAGTTGTGGAATGGCTGTGTCTGTAATATGGTGTGCAGAAAAGAAAAATGCTGGAATGGATGACAAATCACACTGTTATCAGTAGTAGCTTGTGTGAAAGCCAGTATGAACACCACCTACTTCAATTACCACTTCATTTCTAGGCTAACAATGAGATCAAGAGAGCTGCTCATATCTGAATATTTGAAGCCTTACCTAGAAACTGGAGCACACTGCTGAAGCCATTGTAGATCCATTCAAATATGAAGGACATTGTGGAATATCAGTTGCCTAGAAAAACACATACACATGGTTAGGAGTCTTGGCTGTGTACCAGAACATTTCCACCATCACACTTACCTATGAGCTAGAAAGTTGACAATTAAAATTTGACATACAAAGACTGACAGAAGCAGCAGGCTGAAACTGTATCTCCTTCACAGGTTGGAAGACAGCAGAAACAAGTCAACATTTCCTCCTTCAAAAAGTATAAAAAAATTACATGCTAAACAGCTTATACAATAGCTTCTATACTCTGAATTGAGTCTCTTTATTAACATAACTGATAGAAATAATGGGTTATGAGAACCATTATGAAAGCCAAAATCTGTTCTGACTGAAAACTTAATCTACCTGTCCAAAGCTTCTTGATCTTCACTACTATCTTTATGCAAGACTTACGATGCCATAAAATACACAATAAAGAAAAAGACTGGCAAGATTATGTGATACAGACATTTATGTGATTTAAGGTTCATGTAAGGAGGCAGGCCTTTAAGACCAGCACTCTCTAAACAGTATTACAAGTACTAGAGAACTGTGGGTCTGCTGTCTTATAAATGTGGTGAACACAACACATAGGCTCTTCTTTTTGTCAGCTAATATGCTCAGGAAGTAAGACATACAAACATTTCTGAGAGTGGAGAAAAAATGTTCTTGACTCCAAATTTCTCATAAACTACTATAAAACTTCCCATGCTCCATACCATTCTTACAAGTGCACGCATGGGCTCCAGTATAAATACAACATTGTTTAGTTAATAAATTGAATGTAGATCATTTGTTTAATTTATTTCAAATCAGAATCTGAATGTAATTGTAAATTTTAAACTTCTGGTTACAATAAAACGTATGTTTGAAGTTCAGATGATGGTATATGTCATGAAGGTTAAAATGGGTGTGGGAGAGTTAGGCTGCAGCTTGTAGATTTTGTTATGACTTACCCTTTCCTCCATGTTTAGAGTACTGAATAAATCCGAACTAGAAACCAGGCTCAAATCCAAACCTAGGAGATTATCGCACCTCCTAAACTACCCTGCTTACCTCTCCCAAATGAGTCCAATTTGGGAGAGGTAAGCGGGGTTGTTTAGGAGATGCGATAATCTCCCTAATTTGAATTAGACAACCCCGTTAAACTGTTCTCTGTGACAAGAAAGTTTCAAAAAATGTGTCCAAAAACAATTCTCTGCATGTGCAAAATGAGAAAGGTGGCATAACAATTTTGTTTGACTGAAGTTGTCAGCATGTCTCATGATTAGCTATGGTGCTGGGAGCAACAGTCCAACATTTTTTGGAGGACCACAGGATTCTCAACCCTCCTATACATTTCTCTGGGAGAGAGGCTCAGGCTGCATCTACACTGCAGAACTAATCCAGTTTGGCACCACTTTAACTGATTTCTTGACTGCAGTCTCTGTCCTGACCAGTTTGATCCAAGGTATGGGAACTCTTAACTATTTTGATTTCCTCATCAACAGCATATATATCAGTACAGTGGGCCCTTGTTATCTGCTGGGTTTGGATCCAGGACCCCCGTGGATAACAAAATCCGTGGGAGTTCAAGTCCCATTAAATATAATGGCATAGCAAAATGGTGTCCCTTATATAAAATGGCAAAATCAAGGCTTGCTATTTGGAATTTATACTTTTTTTGAATATTTTCAGACCATGGATGCCTGAATCCATGGATAAAAAATCCGTGGATGAGGAGGATAGGATCGATTGTATTTAAAACACACACACACACACACATGCACACTCCTAAACACACTGCAAAAATAATCTAGTTTCAGACCGCTTTAAATGCCCTGGGCCAGAGCTAGGGAATCCTAGGAATTTTAGTTTATTGTGGCACCAGAGCTCTCTTGACAGAGGCAGCTAAATGTCTCACAAAACAACAGTTCCCAGGATTCCCTAGCACTGAGCTAGGGCAGTTAAAGCGGTCTCCAACTGGATTACATCTGCAGTGTGTTTTGAACTCCTCTTTCAAATCAAATCAAAACAATTTTATTTACACTCTTTGATCAAAATAGGACCCCTCTCTTCTTTTTCTTCTTTTTTTGAGGGGGAGGGGAAGACAAAATGACGGTAGGAGAAACCATAAAATAAACAGCTTTGTTCGGACCTAACCTAACCTGAACCTCCCTAACTAAAACCATACTTATATTTTATTTATTTATTTATTTATCCATCCACGACATTTTTGAACCAAGGCCTTTGCTTATCGCCTCTCGACCCACCGGAGGCCCTCCTTATGGAGTCTATCACACTCCATAAAAATACTACAATATATACTTAGACTTGTACACAAAAGAGGGAGACACCCAAACACACGGAGACGACGGTTCTTCGAGGAGGGAAGAAAACAGCCGCCGCCGCCGCCGGTGGAGCCACGTAGGAGCCGGAGGGGGCGGGGAGGAAGAAGAGGCGAAGAGGAGGAAGAGAGGAAAATGAGAGCAATACTCGGTCTCCACACTACAACGCACACACACAGCCGGGCCCTGGGAGAAGGAAAGAGCCGGAGAAGGGGAGCGGCTCCTTCCAGCCGAGGCCTCCGACCCCTCCTCCCGGCCCCCGCCTCGCTTGCGTGTCACTTGCCGGCCTCCCCTTCCCTCCCCGCGTCCCTCCGTCCGGTTGCGGCCTAAGCGGAGGCCCAAGGCCTAAAGCCCGCCGCCTCGTCTCCCCCGGTTGCCATAACAACGGAGGCTCTCCTTACCGGACTCGGCGCCTCAGACTTTCTCTCTCTCTTTCCTCTCAAGCTCTTTGGCTCACTCCTCAGCCGCCAGCTCCACGCCGGAACTACGTAGCCTTTACTTCCGGTGAGTAAGAAAAAGAAAGAGGCTTCTCTGCTGCCACCGCGCGCTTACGTGTCCTGTCAGGCGTGGCGGCGAGCATAAGCTCCGCCCACTGCGCGTAAGGCGCGTGATGGTGGCGGTTGACGCAGCGTCGGTCTCGCGCGCTCTCTCTATCTGAGGTTGACGGTTCGAATACCGGTCTTTCCCTCATGGAGGGGCCTCGAATTAAATTAAATAAAAATTAAAATAAAATAACATAATAAAATAAAATAAAAAGGTTATCGTTTTCTGGTCAGGGTGACCAGAGATTATAACCGGAAAGGAAGACAAGGCTTTGTAAAATGGAGGGGTTGACATAATAAAAAGCTGAAAACACTCGTTTGTTGTTCTGTGCTTTCAAGTCGTTTCCGACCCTAAGGTGAACCTATCATGGGGTATTCCTCGCAAGTGCCATTGCCATTCTTTGAGGTTGAGAGAGTGTGACTTTGTCCAAGGTCACCCTGTGGGTTTAAATGGCTGAGCTGGGATTTGAACCCAGAGCTATCAGAGTCTCAGTGCAACGCTCAAGCCACTGCTCCACTCTGGCTCTCATCTAAATGTCAATTCACCTAAATTCATGTTTCATATATAGGAGTGTCCTAGAAATACAAGACTGTGGTACGTAGGACTGTTGTCCACATGTAGGACTACCCTTGAAAACAGGATTGTCCTACTTAGGGCTGTCCCTACAAATTTGGATCATCTAATGTAGGACTACCACATGTAGGCCTCTCCCTACAAAAATGCACTGTCCTATGTAGGGCCATCCACCATATGTAGGACTGTCCAACAGATGGAGGACGCCTATTAATGAAGCCTGGGCCCTGCACAGGGCACCCTAGAAATTGATTCCTCCAAAGAAAGATAGTGGGACACAAAAATTAATCGTATTCTGCTGTGTGAGTGTGTGACGTGTCCGGGAAATGGAGGACGTGACCTCCAAATGGAGGGTATGTCCCAGAAATGGAGGACAGGTCCAACAATTCTACCCTGTGTCCTGGCAATGGAGGACATGGCCAGGAAATGTGTTCCCCATTGAGTCCTGAGGCCCATTCTTCTTCAGACTAACCAACAAGAGTTTGGCCACTCTAGGACTTAGAAATCGGCCTTTCCCAAACTTTGGACCTCCAGATGTTTTTGGATTTGGACCTTGGCTCCCAGAATCCCTGACTGCTGGCCAATCTAGCTGAGGCTTCTGGGAGTTGATGTCCAGAACTTCCAGAGGAGCAACGAAGGATCTCTTTGGAAGAACATAGGAATGAATTGTCCTCTCCTGTGGAAATGTGGGACTTCTCCTGGAAATTTAGGTCATCTCCTAGACATTGGAAGTGTAGGATGGGTCCTACGTCATGTCCTGCCAATGGAGGGCATGCCCAGGAAATGTGTTTCCCGTTGAGTCCCATTCGAGATCAGACTAACCAAGAAAAGTTTCATCACTATATGACTTATAGGTCAGCCATCTCCATGCTTTGGACCTCCAGATGTTTTGGACTCCAGCTCACAGAACTCCTGACTTGTTGGCCAAGGTAGCTGGGGCTTCTGGGAGTTGAAGTTGAAAACACCTGGAGAACCAAAAGAAAGATGTACGTAGAGCAGGGGTAGGCAACCTTTCCCCTTTAAGGGCCGAGGGCCTTCAGCTCCCAGAAGCCTCAGCCATGTTGGCCAATAGTCCCATGTTGGCCAATAGCTCCTGGGATTCTGGGAACTGAAGTCCCTCGGCCCTTAAAGGGGAAAGGTTGCCTACCCCTGATGTAGAGCAACGGAATAGCGGATTACACTCTGCTGTGGAAATGTAGAATGTGTTCTGGAAATGTAGGATGGGAGGACCTACCAATGCAGGACAGCCTCCATGTATAGGATGCATCCTCCATATGAAGGAGTGACCTAAAAATATGGGGCATGCCCTCCACAGGGCACCCTAGAAATGTATTCCTCCAAAGAAAGATGGACCATGGAAAGCTCGAGTGACTCAGACTGGGAGCTCTGAGGGTGACACAGAACATACATAGAGTGCTGGGCTATATTATATGCTGGCTGTGTGCACAGAGGTTAGGTTTTGCAACCATATTTATACCTTAAGACTAGCCCCAGGCAGTGGTATATCTGTTCCGGTAACAAAGACTGAATGTATTTTCCTAGGAATCAACAATAGCATTCCAGACTGGTTGCTAGCTTTAATTTAATTTGACAAAAACAGTGATTGGATCAGGATATCCCTGAGATGGGTGGACAAGGATGTTTGGCTGAGGACACAGCAGCGGATAGGCAGAGAAGTTGGCTTACTGCTCTGGGTGCAAAGAATGAGACAGGAAATGCAGATTACTTGGAAAGGAAGGAGTACTTAATTCACACATTTAGATGTAATGGTCTTGTTTACCTGGATGTACACATGCCTTGAGACACGTTCCTTTATTCCTGGGAAACTGACCTAGTGTTCCTGAAAGGTCATTGATCTATCAAAAAAATGTTATCTCCAGATAGGAGATGAAAATATGAGGACCCCAAAATATAGCATGGTGTATGCAGAGGTGCTACTAAGGGGGACAGGAAGAGGAGGGGATACAGACACCATCATGCAATTGTACTGGGTGTGATGCTTCGCATCTGGGGACTTGTGCATTTGCAAGGTTATTGACAGGCTTCTCCCATCAATGAAAAGGGATGGGTTGGGGAGAGGCTATCTTTGAGTTGGAGGTGTTGTAACCCCAAATATACACACTGGTTTATGAGTAAGGCAGTTGAAATAAGTCCAAGTAGCCATGGTAAGACTGAGGACGTTATCACACGTGGGCCAAAAAGCGATAATAAAGTGGAAATGAGGCATTCCGAAAATAAACCGAAAATAAACCTTGTTTCTGCAAATGGCTTTCACACATAATTACCTTAATTGCGAATTTACAGTAAGCGCATTAACGTTCACACACAAGTGAGAAAAGCCCATAAATGTACTAGAAATGAGCTTCTTGAACATGCGCAGATGTAGGAATGCTCGCTGGAACCATGGGAAAAAGCAGGGAAATGCTCCCAAATTCGCATTTGCTTTTCACATTATGGTAAATGCGAAATTACCTTAATTTCACATTTGCATTTCCTCCAAACAACCGAATTTCAAAAGATCGCGGTTAACACCAATTTCTGTCTACTTTCTGTCCAGTTTCTGTGAGACGTCGTGTGAAAACGTGGGGCACAAATCCAGTTTCTGTTTGGGATTTGTGTGGATTAACCAGCAGATTTGCCCCCGTGTGATAACGTCCCAAGACCTACATCTGGTATTGCTTCTGTTCCTAAAGTAAAATTGATAAACACCTATTAGTCTATGACAGTTCTACTCTAAAGTAGTGGTCCCTGAACCATTAGCTCCCAGTCCCTTGAAAGTTTGCAGGAAAGAAAGAAATTATTGTACACAAACAGGCACAAATATAGTGCTTGTCCCTGTTACATTGCAGGGCGGGGGGGGGGGG